TTAAGCTTTTTTGTGCCAAAAGGGTACTACGTGTAAGGGGAAAAAATATAAATTGAAGGTACTACATAGTCAAAAAATTCTTCCAACTCGCGACCTTTATAAATACTCTCGTATTATGGAATCCAGAAAGGACTGGAGTAATTAGATATATAACATGGCTTGGGTTAGGTTAAAGGATGCGCGGTTGACGCATAACAACCTCTTCACTAGGACATCTCCTTGTCCACCATGTTCATCCTAAAGTTCAAGAGAAACAAGTTAAAGAATACCATTCCCTCAGGGTATTGAGGATATATTAAGTTTGTCATTTCGTATGTATCATCTCGAAATATATGTACATTTTAGATCCTACAAAGTATATATATTCTTGATCAGTATAAAATTCTATGTCGATTTAGAGGCGTTCGTCAATCTACCTATCTGTCTGTCCGTCTGTGAAAATCACTTTAGGTTCCGAGTCAAACGAAGAAGGTTGATAAAATTCTACTCAGATGTGTGTTTGGTCCACAGGACTTTTGTTATTGAAAATGAGCTATATAGGTCCACGTTTTGGTATAGTCCCCATATAACATTACCTCCCCATATTTGGTATTTTCATATTTCGTATTTGTAGTTCGCTGTTGGTACTGCTTTCAATGACAGAAAAATTACTATGGGGTGCACGACTTCGTATAGCCCCCATATGAGGGTACTTTAAAAAATTCGCTATTTTGATGATTTTTGCGACATTATTCACCGGAATTGTTTCGAAGTTCGCCTTCACAGTTTGTAACGAGTACTACAGCCCATGACAGAAAATGGCTTATGCATTTTCAAGTCTTCTTATAGCCCCCATACATCGGCACCTCCCTATAAACGAAATTTGGTTTTTTTGTGGCGATTTATTTTTTGTGTCAAGTTTCCTATTTGAATATTGTAATGATCAAAACTGGCCTATGCAGGTCCACGTCTTAGCATAGACCCCAATATCACGGTAACTTAATATATTTTATGACCTTTATGGTTAACTTCTTTGTGGGGGAAGTGTCCGAAGGAGTGGATCGATATCTACCACCTTCACACCAGATCATGTATTAGTAGTAATAGTGGATTGTGTAAAATTTGGAGAGATTTGAATAATTATTTCGCATTTCATGAGATATATAATTATTTAAAATGTTGACCCTTTGTGAGGGAGGTACATGATGGACTTGACCGGAATTTTCCATTTTGGCACCACTGATACAAATATTGGATTTGCACGGAATTGGACGATCCTTTCTTGTTCTATTCCGTAAATTATAATCTGTGAAAATGTTGACCTTTTTATGGGGATATACCAGTGGACCGATATTGTCCATCTCCAAGCTCGATCTAAATTTGATAATAATATTACGATGTACCAAATTTGGATCAAAATACTCTCTTACGCGCCGATGGAAATTCTTAGATCGACACCACTGAATATTCTTAAATATTAACACAACTAAATATTCTTCGTAGACCCCATATTGACCCCCATTCGTAATCAGCATAACTTTCTTTTATTCCATGGATTTGTCTGAATATTGGTATTTGTGGTTCGTAATGGATATATGGCTTCGACGACGGAGCATTGTATATGTAGACCCACATTTTCATATAACCCCATTATTATTATATTTAAAATCAATTTTCAGTTTAATTAGACTTGATTAATTTACATTGTATAGTCATTGAGAAAAAGATAATAAAATTTAATTAGAGTCCGTCCGAATTAAGATTCCCCGTAAAAATACCCATTTATTAGCTCCGAATTGTGTCCTTCCTTAGAAAATCTTCTATTTTCCCAGCCATTTCTAAACTACCATCGTAACGGTAGTATTTTAATAATAAATCAAGTATTTCAAAAACTTTTAAATTAACTCTAAAAAGATGACAAATGTCTCGTTGAACAAAAACGAGATGAAGAAGAAGACGAAAAAAGTGATGTATGTAAATGAGTTAGACGCCTTAAGGATGTCAACAAACCAGAAGTGACACAAAAGGCAAGTAGAAAATCAAAAGTGGTGAAAGGTTTATTTTGACACATAACTTCAAGGAAAATTGTCAAAAGGGGACCAATTACAAATACCAAAATACAAAAGGACTTGCTGTTCTTTGCAAGGTATTTCTCAGGGAGAAAGACAGAGAGCGAGAGAAAAAATATATTTTTGAGATGCATGGTCTAAGAGACATCTCTCAGTGGCGCATGTCCGTTCGAGTGGAGGTGAATTTGAGGTAAATTCATTTCTCTGAGCAAAACAGTTAATGTTCTCCGAAAGGGGTTTATTTTTGAGAGAGAAGAGCGAGTGGGAAACCCCTCGTTATTACATTATTTTTACCACACTTGTCATAACAGTGTTTCTTCTCTAGCTTCCTTTTTGCTCTTTATTTTCGGCATAAACAAAACAAACTGCAAAGAATAAATGAACACACACTCTCATATGCTTTTACATCCTGTTTGGCTGCAAGTGTATGAGTGTGAGTGCGACTCTTCGTTGGTCTGTTTTGCTTACATTTTGCACTTCCTTTTTTTTTTTCTCAAGCCATGCCATGTCTTGTTGATGCTGTTGTGGTTGTTGTCCATTGCTGTTGTTATTGCAAACATTGGAGTGTGTTTATATTTCTCACTGGATGTTGCAAGTGTTGTTGTCGTTGCTGCTACTGCCGCTACTGTCTCCTCTGAAAAAAAAAGTGCGCATGTGGGTGCTTGATGGCGGATAGGGCACGTTAGAGTGCCATTCACAGCATGGTTGACAAGTGAAAAAGCATGGCCATACAGCCCTCCTCGGCCTTTGCTGGTGTTGGTATATTTGATTGTTTTGTTTGTTTGTTTGTTTGTGTGCACTCCTTTCAAGTGTCAAACTTGTGTTTTTGAACTTTGTACACTCTTTTCGGTATTGTAAGACGGCGATAGGGCGCAGGAACTGCTGCTGCTGCTGCCACAATTGCTGTTGCTTGTTCTGTTGTCTTTGTCATTATTTGTTATTATTGTATTTCGTTGCGTTGTGTTATTATTTCTTTTTCTTCTTTCAGCCATTTTTGCCGGAATAAGACATGTAATGTTTATTGTCTTTGTGTGCCAGCAAGACCTTGAAACACCATCGGAAGTTTCAAACGATTTTTAAGGGTGGAGGAAAAAAATACTCCTCCACGAAAAAAAAAATTCAATTCAGCCCAGCTTAAATATAACTTCTCTTGGAGAAATCTTCAATTCTGAATGGGGAATTTCTATAGGAAATTTTAAATTTAGCCGCGGGATGAATGAGGAATTTCCGTAGGAAATTTTCAATTCAGCCCCAGACTGAATGGGGAATTTCCGTAGGAAATTTTCTATTCAGCCCCAGGCTGAATGGGGAATTTCCATAGGAAATTTTCTATTCAGCCCCAGGCTGAATGGGGAATTTCCATAGGAAATTTTCAATTCAGCCCCCGGCTGAATGGGGAATTTCCATAGGAAATTTTCAATTCAGCCCCCGGCTGAATGGGGAATTTCCATAGGAAATTTTCAATTCAGCCCCCGGCTGAATGGGGAATTTCCATAGGAAATTTTCAATTCAGCCCCCGGCTGAATGGGGAATTTCCATAGGAAATTTTCAATTCAGCCCCCGGCTGAATGGGGAATTTCCATAGGTAATCTTAATTTCAGCCCTGGGCAGAATGCGGACATTCCATAGGAAATTTTCAATTAAGCCCCCCGCTGAATGGGGAATTTCCATAGGAAATTTTCAATTCAGCCCCAGGCTGAATGGGAAATTTCCATAGGAAATTTTCTATTCAGCCTCAGGCTGAATGGAGATTTCCATAGGAAATTTTCTATTCAGCCTCAGGCTGAATGGAGATTTCCATAGGAAATTTTCTATTCAGCCTCAGGCTGAATGGAGATTTCCATAGGAAATTTTCTATTCAGCCTCAGGCTGAATGGAGATTTCCATAGGAAATTTTCAATTCAGCCCCCGGCTGAATGGGGAATTTCCATAGGTGATCATAATTTCAGTCCAGGGGAGAATGCGGACATTCCATAGGAAATTTTCAATTAAGCCCCCGGCTGAATGGGGAATTTCCATAGGAATGTGGAATTTGCATAGGAAATTTTCAATTCAGCGACCGGCTGAATGGGGAATTTCCATAGGAAATTTTCAATTCAGCCCCGGGCTGAATGGGGAATTTCCATAGGAAATTTTCAATTCAGCCCCGAGCTGAATGGGGAATTTCCATAGGAAATTTTCAATTCAGCCCCGGGCTGAATGGAGATTGCCATAGGTAATCTTCAATTCAGCCCCGGGCTGAATGGAGATTTCCATAGGTAATATTCAGAGGTAAAGATGGTCCTTTAGGCATGCGTATTTTTTGATGATGCATCCCATGATGAATAATATCATGCTTTATGAAAAATTTGGAAAATATATCATTGCCTCTTCCCAGGGACTTTATCAGACTTAAATATGCCACCTATGAATGGTTCCAAGCTTCAGAATAACACACCAAGCCCAAAAACATATCGCGACACATACAAAAAAGACCCGTTTACACACCAATTAGTGTCCTATGTAATATAACTTCTCTGAACTCTTTTATTTAAAAAATTTATAGCATACTTTTAGGCGCCACCATAATTTTGAATTTATGAAAATGGCTTTGGGGTATATCTTGGCTGTGGAGTATACTTTGGTACAGTATAGCATAGTATTTCACGGTACTGTATAATAGAAAATAGTATAGCATATTTTTAGGGGTAAAAAGCATTACTAACTAACATTATTATAAAATTAGCCCCGACAGGTTTTTTGTCCTTCTCTTTCAATATTTTAGTCTAAAAATTGTTAGAAGTACCTAAAAGTATGCTAGAAAATTTTTGAATATCTAACTGAAAAAGTCATTTCACACACGACTCTAATATGATGTCTAAACTGGCCTTAATTTCCCCATGGAAATGTTTTCCATTTTTTTCTAATGAATTGAACAAGTAGCAACAAAACATTAACGCATATCAGACTCACCCTTCTCCTGCAACTGTTGACGTTTGGTGTCGCCTTTCAATATCTCCGCGGTATGGACCAGCTCATTAAGTTGCGGTTTTTTCATTTTCAGTTCACGCAAAACTTTCTGCAAAAAACAACGATAGATGGATGGATGTATTGGATAAATGAGTGGTTGGATGGATGTATGCATGATTAAAACAAAGTGGTAAATAGAAAAAAAAAACAACAACAAAACAATAGTTTTTTTCCATATTTTTAATTTAAAGTTAGTTTTGATCTCCCGGTCCCACCCCCTTGCTGGAGGAGGGATGGGTTGTATGAAATCTGCTACAAAATGTGCGTGCAAAGCATTGAAAGTTTTTTTGTTTTTGTTATTGTTTTGGCTTCCTTTGCCTGCCTAGTTAGCAAAACTGTGCAGTCGCCAGTCAAAGGATGTCTCGGCAGGTTGTTAGTTGTTTGTATCAAAACAACAACAACAGTGACTAGAGGAAAAAAAGAGTTGATTTGTTTTGCTTTGCTTTGGCTTACCTCCTGCTTTTCTATGGCCATGCGAACGGCATCGACATCATCGACTGGCACACTTTGGATTTTAATCATGTTTTGTTCCCACGTCAACCAATCGGATATTTGTAGAACGGACTTGTCAAAGCTACCAGCCAATGCTCCAGTGCCGCTGGGTTCCTCGTTGTACTCTGCAAAAAAAAAAAGAAAAAAAATGAAAAACAACAACAACGACATGAGACAGCAGGAAATAATTTTACATGAAATTGATTTCTTGCTCCGTTTAATGACTTGCAGACGGATAGACGTCCTGGATGACAGAAGGAATCCTTAATTTGATACTTTCAATTTTTAATGATGTCAAAGTCCCTTTTTCATTTGACAACGTTTTAGTGATTATTAATTTAATAATATAATTTAATGGAGAGAATTTTAATTATCCTTGATTAAGGATATCATTAGAACAGATATAATAAGCAGATAAGTTACGGAAAAAATTGATAATAAATAGGTGAAGAGCTAAAAATTGTGACTACAAGGACCCCATCTACCAGCCAAGAGCTCCTCAATTAATTATTATCCTTTCTTGGGGTTAGGTATTGGGGCGGAAATAAAAAGAATAATTATTAGAATCTATGTATGGGTGAATTACATAAATACCTATAATTATTATTTCCCGCAATTTAATACTATCCAAATCAACCATCGCGAAAGGCACCATAAAATCGTTGTTACCTTTTAAATACCAATCATTTGAAACTAAAAACACCTTCGCCACATCTCAAAGGATAATAGCTACTCATAAAACGCTTTTATATCGCTCTCTAACAAGTGTATAATGTTATTCGGTTTTTTTAGACGGGCGAGAGAAAGTTTTCAATTCGACATAGAAAACGAGGGAAATAAACTAGAACAGCTCAACAATTGCATTGCTTTATTGAGATGAAAGTGATGAAAATAGCTTGGCAAATACAAAATAAATGCTTGCAGATATGAAAAAGAAGAATTAAATCCCGTTTTTTCGGATGTCAAAAAGGATTTAAAGATGTGTTTTTTTTTTTTTTTTTTTTTTTTTGAAAAATTCAAAAATTTTCCAACTATATTTAAAAAAAACAAGTAAGCAAAGGCTATAGTCGTGCGGGGCCGACTATGTAATACCCTACAACACCACAAAATGTTAGAAGCCCCCTTGTATCCAAATCCATATTGAAATTTGAAATTAGGATTTTGCCTAGGGACATTTGCCCAATATTTTTGCACTCCGTCGTGCTGTTAGTTGTTGTAGTCCACTTTAAAGCTAAATATAATCCAATGGTCATCCAAAATGCCAGTAATCTTCCCTGTCCTCTCTTATCAGGCGTGTCGATTGGCTTCAATTGTGTGATCGGAAAAACATTTCTGTTTTTGGTTAATTTAAACCCCCAAAATATTTTGCAATCATCTCCAAAAGCAAGAAGCCCCTCTGTATCTCCAAATTTAGACTCATGTTTATGATTTGCTTGTCTACGATATTTGGCCAGCCAGAAGTTCGCCTTTTGTGAATTTCGAATATCGCCTATAAGTAATGCTGTTATTTTTTCACAGAATATTAGTGGTCCATTGTACCCGCTATTCTAAACTCTAACTTTATGCGCGATTTCGTGTCCTCTGGTTCTTATTTGTGACCTTTATAACGGCTGCAAAATCAGGAAAATTTTTAGTTGTTGGTCCATTTCAACCCCTAATATATTGCATACATCTTTGAAAACAATAGGCCTAGCCCTTCTGAGCCCAACCCTACCCTTTCGAAAATTTTCGTGAGGATCGGACGATATTTGAAATTCTTATATTATAATCCCAACCTGTGTTGTTAGGTGAAAAAAGTATTTCAAAATATTATAAGTCAAATTGAAAAAAATTGCATGATATGATCGCAAAATATGAAAAAATAAAAAAAATGTCACAAAATACTAAAAAATCTATATTAACATCATTACTGGCCTATTTTTCTGCGATTTTTTTAAATTTTATACTTTTATGTCAAGAGGGCATTCTGAATTGACAATATTTGTCAAAATCGGTCCTGCCATTCTTGAGATATAAGCATTCTAACTAACACCCCCTTCCTTTGTATGTACGCATTGTATATATTTCGCTATATATATCCGAAATATTTACTATCGGCATCTACGTAATGGTCAGGATTGGCCTGTCCGTCTATTTGTGATTTCGCGGGATTGAAAATATTCGCGGTTAAATCGAAGGCTTCTGCCCAAAATTGGAAAACTTCTGCCCAGCTCTAAGCTCTAGCCCCATGCTAACTAACTTCCCGATTGGTCTATAATTGCAATCTGTAGAGCAACTGCAAAATCAGTATTTTTTTCAGTTTTTGGTCCATTTCGACCCCTAAATATTATGCGATCATCTCCAAAAGAAATAGGGTTGTATTCTGAATCTAGCACCGCCCCCATTCTAAATTTTAAGAAGATCGGACCATAATTGCGATCTGTAGAGTGATTACAAATTAACATGGACAGACGGACGGACTTCCAGGGACATCAATGTAGATTTTCAACATATATTGCTTACCAATTTTTATGGCTATTTTCGAGAATATAGTTAAAGGTTTTCAAGCCTTATCATTGAAGAATTTTAAATCAAAAGCTTTTTTTAAGATTTTTTTGAAAGCATCTCGAAAGCTAACAAGGTGTTTCTTTTTAATTTGTCTTAAAAACTATTGGAGTATTTCTAAAAAATATTTTTGGACTAGCGGGGTGTGAAATACTTCTAGGTAGACTAATGTAGATTTTTTTGAAATATGTTTAAAAAAAAATAAAGGACTCCAGAAAAATAGGGGTTTTTTAAATTTTTTTTAAAAATATATTTTTTTAAGTTAAAAGAGTTAAAAAATCAAGAATATTTCCGACGAAACACAATGGCAACACATTTTTTTTTTAAATGTGATTTTAAATGTTATTGAAGGACTTCCAGAGCAACCAATATAGTTTCTTTTTATACCCTCACTCATATGCCTAGAGAGGGTATATATCATTTGATACGGCCAAAACGCATCGAAATAACGATCTCTTTGGACCAAATCCGTTTTTGGGGTCGATCTATCGATATCTATCCGTCCGTCCCTCTGGCTGGTGCGCACGATAACTCTCGAAGGGAGTGTTCAATTTTGTCCAAACGTGGTGTACCGTAATATTCCTGTCAAACTTAGATCTATTTCGGAGATTGGCAATATGGGTCCACTCCTTCTGGTACAACCTCCACAAAAATCGAAATTTTCAAGAAAATAATTTATTGCACAGAAAAAGAAACAATAATCCAACTTTGCTCCAAGTTTGCGTGTCTTAATACTTAAATCAGTGCTTCTTTAGGTGCGAAAATGGACAATATCGCTCCACCCCATCAAGTACCTCCCCCACAAAGGGTCAACATTTTGGATAATTATAACCGTTATAACATGTGTTGTAAAAGTCCGATTGTCTTCAAATTACATAAATCACAGTATTTTCTTTAAACCCAAAGCCGGGATATATCAGTCCACTCCATCCGGTATCTCCCCCAAAATTTTTCAAAATTGTGAATAGCCATGTAGCTCATAAAATACGAAATTAACATCCGATTCCATTCAGACTTGACACATCTCAATATACAGGGTGAAAAAAAACTGCAACAAAGTCAAACGCCATTTTTACATTTTTTTTAAAATTCTGTTGAATGAAAGAAAAATATGTCGGAAATCAAATTTTAGAATAAGTTTAGATTTGTTCGAATTGGTCACCTTTGGCCCGAATTATGGCCTTCAAACGGCCAATGATACCGTAACACGATGTCTGAATGTTGTTCTGTGGTATTTTGATCGATTCCCGGCGAAGCGCTTGCTTGAGGCGATCGACACTTTGGTATTTTTTAGTGCCAACCTTGCTTTCCAAAATACTCCAGAAACAATAGTCCAAAGGATTGTTATCCGGAGATTTTGGTCTTTTGGAGGAACCTCATTTTGTAACCATTCTTGGATGGCGCGTGCTGAGTGCAATGGTGCTAAGTCCTGTTGGAATGTCCAAGATCTGCGGCCAAAATGTTTGCGTGCCCAAGGCTTTAATACAACCCTCAGAATATTTACGCGATAATATTCGGCATTTATTCTGATGCCACGGTCGATTAATACGATCGGAGAACGACCATCGGCTGTTATAGCGGCCCATAGCATCACCATGGCCGGCACTTGAGTTCTGGTGACCAACCGAAGGTGCACATTTTCAACTGACCTCTTTGGCAAGTAAACACGATTATTTTGTTTGTTTACAAACTGCTGGACAGTGATTTTTCTCATGGGAGGCAGTTCACCACTTTCGGGAAAGCGAAGCTCTTTTGTGTCTATTTTATTTCTGTTGCGGTCTCAGCTCTTGCACTTTTTGGAATTTCAATGGCTTTACCCCGAGCTCAATTTTTAATATTTGCCGAATAGAATATTGCGATATATGCGGCTCACGAGCCATGTTTCGTCCACTTCGACGTGGGTTTCGATCAAGTCGCTTCTTTACTTTTCGAACCATTTCTGCTGATATTCTTGTTTTCTTTCGTCCGCTTCCTTGACGTCGGGCTACGCTACCAGTATCACGGTAACGAGCGATGGTACGAGACACAAAAGATTTATTCACATTTAAAGGCTGGAGTGCTCTAACGATAGTCACTTGAGTTCCATCACGAATAACTTTTTTTTTGGAGTTGGTTGCAGTTTTGTATATTTTGCATTTTGGATTGAGGTTTGAAATTTGATAGAGATCTTTGGATTACATCCAGAGTCTTTGGTTCAGAAAATGGGTTTGGAATAGCCCCCATGTGCGGATAATTCCGATTAGATATTTTGAGGAGATTTCGGTTTTAGGAATACTAAATTCCAGGTTTATATATGTAAAGATGTGCGGTATGTTTAAGACGACAAAAATCCTGTTAGGTTCGGCTAGCTTAGACATAACGTTAGTGTCAAAGTGTCTTATTCACATTGATATTGAAACAAGGTATGGCATTCTTTTCCGAGCTCTTAAACAATTTGTAAATATAAAAATAAATGTTATTATTTTTTTTTTCTTTTAAATAAGTAATTTCGTAAAATTACTCAAGGATTTCAGTTTTTTACAAAATCATGTGATAATCATTAAACTTCCAAATGCCACTTAGCCTAAAAGTATGCTCGAAA